TATGTGATGTCAACAGGCTACAGTAAACTGGGGTCTGAACGTGGACTTTCTAGCCACATGACCAGGGAGTGGTATATGGAGCTCTCATACCAGGAGCACTTCCTGTGAGTATGTGTTGAGCACTTTCTACCCTGAGAAGGAGGCATTAACAGTCCTATTTTTAAGATAAAAGCACTCAGAGAGAGAAGTTAAGCAGTTACTAATGTCATCAATCAAATGCAACACAGATATGGTGCTCAGTTCCACAAGTCCCTGAATCTGGGATGGCTGAGTTTCTCACTAAGACGTTAGCTTTGTCCAGCCTCACAGACTGTCCCTGAGAAGGTGAAGTGCTCTTGTCCCTGACAGTACTGCCATCACAGCTGCTACTGTTTCCATGGCAGTGACTGAATTGGGTCGTGTACTTCAGGTGTGCAAAGGTGGAAAATTCTTGTGCCACAGCATCAGGCTCTGCTAATCTAGGAACAGTACCTACTAGACAAAAACAGTGTATTCATAAAACATGCCTACCCAGGGCACACTGGATAGCACAAAGGTTACACAAACAGTAAGAATATCAGAGTGCCATTGTGCTCAATGTGTCCAGTGGGGACAATAATGCCTTGCTATTTGCAACCAGAACATCCATACATGAAATTCTGTCAGCTGAGAAGCAGCCTGGACCCCGGCTTGAAGTCTCTTTGGTGAGTGTTATGAGTTGATTTGTGTCCCCCTTAAAAAGATAAGTTGAAGTCTTAACTCCAGTACCTCAGAATGCAACTTTATTTGGAAATAGAGTCTTTAGAGATTTAATTGAGTTAAAATGAGGTTATTGGGGTGGGTCTGAATCCAATATGAATGATGTTCTCATAAAAAGGGGAAATTTGACAGAGAGAGAGACTTGCATAGAGGGAAGATGATGAAAAGAGACAGAGGGAGAATACCATGTGCAGACAGTCAGAAATTGGAAAATACCATCATAAACCAAGGAACGTCTGGGACTACCAGAAGCTGGAAAAAACAAGTAAATATCTTTACACTAAAGGTCCAAAGGAAGCATGGCCCTGCTGATATCTTGATCTCTTGAACTCCCAGCCTTGAGAACTCTGAGTTGATAAATTTCTGTTGTTCTAAGCCACCCAGTTTGTGATACTTTGTTACAGCAGCCCTAGAAAACTAATACAGATTAGTGATAGGTTCTGAACATAATCAGAGCCATTTTAGGAAAAGCCAAGCACAAAACGGCCGCCAACCACCACCACCCCCTTCCCGTTTAGGAGAAGCCTCGTGACTTCTGTGAAATAGAAACCCTTTTGCTTCCGCGTGGGTGCAATTTTCCACCCTGGTTTTATCAGCCAGGTGGAGCTTCTGCATTAGCCTAATGCCCCTCCTTGACTGTATCAGCCAGCCTTCGGTGCCCTACAGCCTATATAAGCCCTCTCACCCCGACGTCTGGTGCTGTTCTCCCCTTTAGTCAAAGGAAATTACTCTCCATTTTGAGTGCAGCCTGACAGATTCTTTTCCTTTAATAAAGCTTGATCGGTACCTGGCATTTTGGCTCACTTTCTTTCATTTTGGTGCTGAAACCCAGGAAGGGTCCTGGCTGGGACCTTCAGACAATCCCTTCTCTTGGGTTGATTGGTCCCCCGGCCGCCCTTCCCGGACCTGCTGAACTGGGTACCTCTGGGACTCTCTCCTCTTGCTGTTCCAAGACCAACACATCCAATATCAGCCTCAATTCAGGGTGAGTCAGTGGGTCTGTCCTACTTCTATGGGTTCCCCTGACTACTTTCTATGACTCCTGTCTACTTCCTGAAGACCAGGCACCTGGCCGAGGGAACCCCTCTCATGCCCACCAACTATTGGAGGATGCTCCTCTAGCCAGTCAGTGGCTCCTCTCTCGAAAAGAAGGTGGGCACCAACGAGGACGCTCCTTGGTGTTACCCTTCTTCTACTGGAGCTGATCACCTCCTTTCTCACCCTCTAAATGGGATCCTCACAATCCAAACCTCCACGCTCTACACCTCTGGGATGTCTCCTGGCCAATTTACAACCTCTTGGCCTCCAGGGAGACATTAAACCCAAAAGATTCATTTTCTACTGCACTCACGTGTGGCCTAAATACAAACTAAACAATGGATCCCGATGGCCAGAAAATGGCACTGGTTATGTTCAGAACCTATAATTAGATTTTCAAAAGATGAAAATATTGTGAGAGACCCGGCCCATTCCTAAGCAAGACCCCGTGTTTCATATTCAGCCTCTTGAACTGCAAAAGTCTTTTCCAAGCATAACTCAAAATTCACAGAAAGGTCTATTCTCAGCATGAGAGTGCCATGATAATTAGCAGATTCACGCACGATGGCGAACTCATCTTTCACAAAAATTTTCTTTTTTTAGTAAGAGTGTGTTAGCCTGTGAGCATAATCTGATGGCTTTAGCTGCATTTGTTATTCTTTGTTAAAACACACAAACACACACACACACACACACACACCCTTCTTATAATCAGATTACAGAAAACTTACCTGCAGGCATATAGAATGTCCCTCCCTCCCTGCAGAAATACTTGGCCTGTCAACTCTCAGATACTGCCAAGAACCTTCCAAGGCAATTAACATAAACATACAAACAAAACAGTGCCTTTCCTTTCCATTTCTTAATAAAAATATCATCTGTCTTAGTTTCCTAGGGCTGCCATTAAAAAGTATCCAACTTGAGTGGCTTAAACAACAGAAATTTATTATTTCACAGTTTAGAGGGTGGAAGCCTTAGATCAAGGTATCAGCAGTCTTGGTTCTTCTGTAAGAATCTGTCCATGCCTCTCTCCTAGTTTCTGGTAGTTTACTGGCAATCTTTGGCATTACTTGGCTTTGAAGGAGAGCAGAACATTTTACCCTGAAATATGGCTGAAAAAAAGAGACAGCCTTAAAAATTTGCCTTAAATTCTTTCTCTTTGGCCTTCCCTCACCTCTCTGATCCTCTTTCCAGAAACAGTGGAGGGACTCTCTCTGGAATTTCCTTATCTAAGAAAGCTTCTTTCCAAGAGAAATGCAATTGTCTAAGATCCTTTCCCAAGATTCTCATCAAATAACCAGAAAAAATCACTGCGAGTCATCACCACACCTGGAAAGACATTTTCACAGAGTGTTATCTGCCTCTCTGGATCATTCAAATTCCAAAGAGAGTTATTTACAAGTTAATTTACACCTCCCAGTTCATTCATCCTCTCTAATAATCATTTCCTGTCCCTCAAAAGAACTCTCTACATTCCCTATCTAGAAGGACATATAAGCTTCTGTACTTCAGTGGATTACTGGGTAAATCATCCCCCTGCAAATCCCCCATGCTGTGCATTTGTATGCCTTTTCTCCTGTCAATTTGCCTTTTTCAGTTGATTTTCAGTGGTCCTTCAGAGAGCAAAGGGGAAGTTTTCCCTTGATCTTTGCAGCTTGTTGATACATCAGCCTGATCTCCGCCTCTTCTCATGGCACTCTACGTCTGTGTTCAGATTTCCCCTTCTTATAAGGACACAGTCATAATGGATTAGGAGTCTCCCCTGTTCCAGTATAACCTCGTCTTAACTAAGTACATTTGCAATAGACATATTTCCAAATAAGGTCACATTCTGAGGTACTGGGGGTTAGTACTTCAACATATAAATTGGGAGTGGGGGCGGGCACGGTGAGGGAGCACCATTCAACCCATAACACCATCTCCTACTCCATGATCACTTAAAAGGTTGCCTTATTTAACTCTACTTATACTAAAATTTTTAAGTACAAAATTTTTATTATTTCCAGAGCAAAGATATGTGTTCTATGAAACACCAATGACTCAATTCCCAGAATGCATTTATTATGGGTAAAATCACAGTATAAAACATGAATATAAACTATAAGTCAGTGTTGCTGAGAACAGTGTTGAGGTGAAGGATCTTACTACCTCTGCTGCTCTTGTTCATTTAGTGAACCAATCAATTCATACTAGGCCAGAGCATGGAGCATCAGAAGACTGAGGAGGAAGACGGAAAAGAGGTAGAAAGAAGAAGGGGGGTGAAGCCGTCCTGACTTTCCAGGCATTAAAATCAGGTCACAGAGACAACACAAAACAAAGAACATGAAACAATATAAGGCCCAATCCAATTGTGACAAATGACATATTCCGACAATGATCCAGGGAGAGAAAGATCACTGAGAGGGAAGTGAGCCACAGAAGGCCTCTCTGCAAAGGATGTGCTTGAAGAGGCCATAGGTCTCAGTGGCCTGCGAGAGGTAGGCGTGAGATCATCCCCACAGTGGGAGGGACTAGAGCCCGGGAAGTAGATGGAGCTGTGTTTGGTGCTGGGAAGCGGTGGCTGCAATTTCGTATGCAAGGAGAAGTCATACCCCAGAGGCCCAGATTATCTCAAACTATGGTTTTTACCTTTACATCACAGTATTTGTGGTCAATATACTTTTTCAGTTTTTGAAAATGTGCCATGGGTGCTTTAATGGAAGGAGAAATTTCCATTTGTGACTTACAGCTCAAGATACTTAGAAGCTCCATTCACCATATTATTCAAATTGACTTCCTCTCATTCACTGGCACCTTTGTTTTCAGTCCATGCAAGTTCAGCATGAAATTGTACTTTTTGACTCCTGCATGAATGAGGAGGCATATTGATGCCTCTCATCTCCTTTCCCTTCCCTGCCCCTTACTATGCCAATCGTTCAGTTTTAAACCACATTTCTTATCATGACCTTTAAGTTCAACAGTTTTCAAACAATATTTTCCTTCCACTTATACTGAAATTTCTCAGTTTTTAACACAATTTTTATTTATCTTTTTTTTTTTTGTCTAGAAATCAAATTAAGTTTTCTTTTATTCCTTCAGGAAAGGATATGGTTATATAAGTTTCGATACTTTTCACACCATGCAATTTTTAAAATTCTCTTGTTATACAAATGACTTTTAATGACTTTTTTATTCCAATTTATTTCTGTGTATTAGTCTGTTATAACAGAATACCCAAGACTGGGTAATTTGTAAAGAAAAGAGGTTTATTTGGTTCATGATTCTAAGGAGTTGCATCTGGTGTGGTCCTCGGGCTGCTTCCACTCATGGCACAAAACAGCAGGGCAGCCGGCAGGTGCAAGCAGATCCTGTGGCAAGAGGAAGCAAGGGAAGGAAGGAGGGCAGTTGCCAGGCTCCTTTTAACCACCAGCTCTCAGGGGAATTAACAGAGTGAGAACTCACTCACTACCCCCCACCCAGGGAGGACATTGATTTATTCCTGAGGGATCCACCCCCATGACCCAAACACCTCCCGACACTGCCACATTGGGGATCAGAGTTCAATATGGGCTTTGGGGGGAAGAACATATCCAACTATATCACCCCAGTATATTGGAAGTATATTCTTCCTAAGTTGACGGTACACGGATGTATCATGTATTACGGGTCCCATGTAGTCCAGTCTGATACTTGCCCTTAGGCATGGCATGTGGATTTCTTTTTCTCTGCTTACTTTTTATTTGGCTATATCCCCTTCTTAGATCTGAAGTTAAAAACAGGTGGATGCCACAGGCTGTGTTTAGTGAACAGAAGTCACTCATCCACTGTGGCTCTGCTGGACAGGGATGGGATCTTCTCTATGCCTCCTGTCCAGTGCCTCTCAGTACTTGAGCATAACAGTCTCAGCCGCCTGCACCTGCATCCACACCCAGGTTGCCGCGGTTTTAGCCCCAACCTGTGGAGACCGCACCCTCCACGACACACTAAGTCGTCCATAATTCCTGTCTTTCCTCAGTGCACCCCACTCTCCTCTGGAAGGTGCCATCTATGAGTAAATATAAGGAAAAAAATCATCAGTGGCAGAAAAATAGTACCTTAGGTATGGTAGAAAGCAGAATGTTTGTCATAGAAAGAAAGACACTGTTTTCTAGTTAATGGAGCATTGGGCTTCTGAACCAGGCAGCAAATAATAATGGTGGCTTGAGAGGGCTGGCTGGTTAGCTCAGTCGGTTAGAGCATGGTGTCATAACACCAAGGCCAAGGGTTCAGATCCCTGTGCCGGCAAGCTGCCGAAAATAATAATAATGGTGGTTTGAAATGTTTAGGTTTTTTCCCCCCTTTTTAGGGCAGTGTATCTGCTCTACCTTATGGGTCATATCAAGGTTATGTCAATTCTGTTTTATTTTCAATCTAGACAGGTTGGCTTTCCATCCATCCTCTTTCAGATCCAGGCAGTAGGATGCCTGCTTGTGTGAGATAGATGTAGGAGGGTAGTTGTAAGGTTTCATCTTTTTATGTGTCTTCAGTGGCATTTTAGTGGGAAATTGTAAGAAATCACTTCAGGAGATTCATTCCAAAAGCACCAACAGAAAGCCAGGATTTTTTAAGGATGCCACACATGGACCAAAAACTTAATGCAACTAATGCTATAATCAAAAAAATAGGAGGTAGGAAGAGGAAAATATGTCATGTGATCAGAGAAATGATACCACACAAAAAATGGAGGTTATAAGAAGACACAAACTGGCCAATAGAAAACAGTTTGTATTTAGAAAAGTCTAATTTTAATATTCTAAAAACTAATGTGACTGATGTTAACGTTTTTAGGTTTTTTCATTATGAATCCTCAAAAGACCGATCACAAAATAACTTGAGTTATTTGTGTTTTGACAAGGATCAGTGAATCCACCATGCATTGGCTATCTGAATACAGTTACCTCTGGCCTCACGGTCCTTACTGTGAGGGTTCACCTGGTATATACGAGGTCCCCACATGGAATTAACAAAAATGGAAGCTGCATGAGAAATTAAAACCAAGACTGTGGGTTAAGGGCAGATAAGGGGCTCAATACTGAATCAACAGAGAGTTGGGAAACTTGAGAAATCTTTATCTTCACAACTTAAAAAAAAAATCCACTTAGTTTTAAGATACATGTACGTATTTTAAAAATGGAGCATTCAAGGAAAATGTCACTAGTCAATGACTGATAACAGTTGTTTTCTCCACCTAATTACAGAGGGGTATATTATTTTGGAAACAACCTTATGTTCATTTAAAACTCAGAGAGATTTGATGTAATGAGTCCTACTTATACCAAAAGCTGAGGACTACAAATCTTTACAGAAAAGGGGTCGCATCTATAGTACATAATGTGCTTATACTGCTGGCACATGCGTTCTACCTCTTTTTTTTCAAGAATGTGTTCACAATGGAGCACTGAAACCCAACCACATTTCTGATATACAGAAAAAACAGTACAAACATCTTTGCTGCCCTAGAAATTTCAATCCTGGGTTGGAGTCTTCACTTTGTAAACTAATCTCAGGGAAATTCTAGACTCTGAATTATTCATCTGTGCAAAGATAAATCTTCCTTCACCAAGCATGTATTTTAAAGTGCAGAAATAACTCATGAAATTTTAGGCTTGCATAGAGGTGGTGGGAAGACGAGGGATGAGGAAGAGCTAAACTTTGATAAAATGACTTCTGAAATACAGTCTTTGGTTGCAGGAAAGTTAAAAGCAGCATGATTTAGTGTATTGGTTTCTTTATTTCACCTCAGAACCATTTTTGCCCCAAAGAAAAGCTAATGCAGAAGCCCAATACGTGAAAATATTAAGGCCAAACTCTGTGGTTGACGGAGGATGGATATCCCAAAGTCTGGCCCACAGAAAATCTTTACCTTCCTCTCCAAAACCACATCCTGTGCTAATCTTGGAGAGATTTCCCCAGAATGTCCCAGAACTGCAGAGCACACTGTGAAAAAACTGGACACACTGGTAGGAAAAGCAGTGTCTATAACTCACAGTTGTAACTTCTCTAAAGCTCTTTAATTTTTTCTCCTTTAACTTTGACCAATTTCACAGTTTATATAAATAAATATAATAATTTAGGAATGATCCCCTGGCCTGCACAAAACTTTCTATCTGATTTTTCTTCCAGTCTACCATTGTGACCAGAATCACTTTATATATTTACAACTTTTATTCACAGTATTTCCTTTAAAATTAATACATGCATAATAGAAATAAATATAAATTGCCTAGACTCACTCTCCTCCCCTCCCCATCAGCAATGCACGTTTTGATTTGGGCACCTAATTACAAAATTATTTCCTTAAAATTTGTTTCAATTTTACCTGTTATCAATTTTTAGGCGATAGAGAAATGATTAACATGCACAATCATCAGTGGTGAGATTCAATGACATAAAAACATAATGTCTCCCCAGAGTCCATCTTCTTATTTCATATTCTCTAGTAGTCACAAGTAAAAATTATGAAATGGGGTGGTAAAATCGAGAAATAGAATTGTCTCTTGGGCACACTGTTAATAGGGTATGTAACATCATGGGGGGAAGTAATTTGCCATTGTATATCTTTTTCATCTTGGATTCTCTTCAGTATCATTTCAAACTTTTAGAGCTTCATTCTATTTTTACTGTGCTTCTTAGAGAATATATAATAAGGTAAGAATTATATATCTATTGTAACTTCATAAATGAGAAGGTAAAAGCTCATATATCACAGACACACACGAGAGGGCTTAAGAGCTTCCTGCATCAATAAAACGAGAAGCCTCATCAGAATCAAGATGTGATAGCATATAAATTCAGTACCTTGAAAATAGTAGATTCTGATCTAATACTTTAGACACTCTGCTATCTGTCCCCCAATATCCATTCTCTACTTTTTCCAAAGTACTATAACGCCCACTTTTGCATGTGCACATGAACACCTAGAATTAGACTACAGTTTCCAGTCTTCTTTGCAGGTAGGCATGACCAAAGAGAGACAGAGAAATCATTCCTAGGTACTGTAAACAGCTTCTACAAACTCTCCTTAAAAGACAATACAAGAATGACCAGACAGAAAATCAATAAGAAAGCAGAGGATGAGAACATTGTAGACAAACTGACATGTACAGAATACTACACGCAACAGCAAAGTACGCATCTGTATCAAGCACACCCGAACATTCTTCAGGATAGATTAGATGTTAAGGCAGAAAACAAGTCTTACCTAATTTAAGAAGATGGAAATAATACTAAGTATCTTTTCCAACCACAATGGAATGAAACTATAAATCAATAGCAAAAGAAAAACTGAAAAACTCACAAATGAGTGAAACTGACACACTCTTGAACAACCAAGGGATGAAAGAACAAATCACAAAAAAATTAGAAAATATCTTGAGACAAATGACAACAAAAACACAGCATATCAAAACCTAGGGGATGGGCCGGCCCCGTGGCGCACTTGGGAGAGTGCGGCGCTGGGAGCACGGCGACGCTCCCGCCGCGGGTTCGGATCCTATATAGGACTGGCTGGTATGCTCACTGGCTGAGCGCGGTGCAGGCGACACCAAGCCAAGGGCTGCAATCCCCTTACCAGTCACAAAAAAGTCAAAAACAAACAAACAAACAAACAAACAAAACCTAGGGGATGCAAGAAAAGCAGTTAGAGGGAAGTTTATAGCAGTAAACACCTATATTTAAAAAATAGAAAAATCTTGGGCCGGCCCAGTGGTGCACTGGAGAGTGCGCTACTTGGGAGTGTGGCGACGCTCCCGCCAAGGGTTCGGATCCCATGTGGAGACCGGTTCCCGCTCACTGGCTGAGCGCGGTGTGGGCGCAACACCAAGGGTTGCAATCCCGTTGCCGGTCAGTAAAAAAAGACAAAAAGGAAAAAAAAAATAGAAAAATCTCAAATTAACAGCCTAACTTTACACCTCAAGGAACTTGAAAAAGAAGAATAAACTAGACTCAAAGTAAAAAAAAGGAAAAAAATAAATAAATAAGGATTAACGCAGAAATAAATGATATAAAGAACAGGAAAACAATAGGAAAAGTCATCAAAACTAAGAGTTGTGTTTTTGTTAAGATCAACAAAACTGACAAATCCTTAACTAGACTAACTAAAAAAAAATGAGAGAGAGGACACAAATAACAAAAATCAGAAATGAAAGAGGAGACATTACAACTGATGCCATGGGGTGGTGGAGGTGGGGGTGGGGAAGAATCCTATGAGATTGCTAGGAACAATTATACACCAAATTAGGTAACCTAGAATAAACTGATAAATTCCTAGAAACATACAACCTACCAATACTAAAACCTGAAAAAAAGTAAAAAACCTGAGCAGCTAGTAAGGAGATTGAATCAGTAATCAAAAAGTTCCCAATTAAAAAAAAAAAAAAAAGCCCAGGACCAGATGGCTTCACTATGGAATTTTACCAAACATTTAAAGAATAATTAACACCAATCCTTCTCAAACTCTTCCAAAAAATTAAAGGAGAACATATCCCAAATCATTTTATTAGGCCGGCATTACTCTAGTTCCAAAACCAAACAAAGATACTACAAAGAAAAAAAAAAAAAACTATAGACCAATATCCCTGAGATAAATATTGATGCAAAAATCCTCATCAACATACTAGCAAACTGAATTTGACAGCATATTAAAAGGATTAGGACCAAGTGGGATTATCCCTGGGATGCAAGGATGGCTCAACATATGAAAATCAATCCATGTAATATGCCACATTAATAAAATGAAGAACAAAAACCACATGATCATCTCAACTGATACAGTACCAGAATTTGACAAAAGTCAACACACTTTCATGGTAAAAGCACTCAACAAACTAGGAATAGAAGGAAGTTACTTCAACATGTTAAAAGCCATATATGAAAATGCCACAGCTCAACATCATACTCAACAGTAAAAACCTGAAAAGTTTTCCTGTAAGATCAAGAACAAGACAAGGATGCCCACTCTCACCACTTCTATTCAACACAGT